AGTCTAAGGGCCAAAAGTGTGAACCATTATAACAAACATTGATTTATATAAAGTCAGGCCTACGTGCCACAAAGTGAGAACCTCCAATACAAAAATTGATTTATATAATGTAAGACCTAAGTGCCACTAAGTGAGAACCTTCAATACGGACATAGATTAATATAATGTCAGGCCTTAGCACAACAAAGTGAGAACCTCCAATATCATCATTGATTGATATTATGTCAGGCCTAAGAGCCGAACAGTTTCTCCACTTATGATTTCCCCTCCCCCTTATTACCACAGACATGTGAAGGGGTGACACAATTTGGAATAGATCAAAGATGCGTACTTATGCCGGAGAACAATTCCGATTCCTATAGCATAATGAAGAAAAAATCTAGATACCTGCTGTAGGTGTGTATAGCTAAACGATCTCTCAGTACAAGGCGGAAAAAAAATTGTGATTTTATATTTAGCGCTCTCAATTATCATTATTTTTTAAAAATGTTTGTGTGTTGAAATTACACATTTTAAAACAAACGAAAATCGTCAAATAATTCTGCAGTATGAATAACCATTGCGCTCCTCATTTGTCAGTTGTCGTTGTGAACAGAGTTTTGGATTTTTGTTTTAACGGAGTTCTCCTTTCTTTTGTTATGTTTTAATTTTTTTTTTTTTTTTTTTTTTTTTTTTTTTTTTTTTTTTTTTTTTTTTTTTTTTTTTTTTTTTATTTTTTTTTTTTTTTTTTTTTTTTTAATTTTTTTTTTTTTTTTTTTTTTTTTTTTTGCTTTATTTCTTTTGTACATTTTTTTTTGTACGACCTCACGGAAACTCCTCATATCTGTAACCAATTTGTCTTTGAGTGTTTGTCCTATGTGTACAAAAAAACGATAAATTGGAATTGGATAAAAATAAATGGTATGACGCACAAAGTTATAGAAAGCTATATGGTTTAATGCTAGTCCATTTCATGGCGGTACTTCTTGCTGTATATGCAGGGTTGCGTTTTCAGACTGAGCCACACTCCGGCACTGCACTTTTTACCCAATTTTATTCAATCAGAGTCAAATTCGGTTCATTGTGAATTCTGAACGACCGGCTCTTTCAACTGGGCACGCTGTGTATTCTGAACGACCTACTCTTTCAACCGGGCACCTTATGTATTCTGAAGTACCGGCTCTTTGATCCGGGCACCTGGTGTATTCTGAAGTACAGGCTCTTTGAACCGGGCACCTGGTGTATTCTGAAGTACTGGCTGCTTCAACCGGGCATCTTATGTATTCTGAATTACCGGCTCTTTGACCGGGCACCTGGTGTATTCTGAATAACCGGCTCTTTCAACAGGGAACTTTGTGTATTCTGAAGGACTGGCTCTGTCAACCAAGGACCTTGTGCATTCTGAATGACCGGCTCTTTCAACCGGACACCCTGTGTATTTTGAAGGACCGGCTCTCTCAACTGGGCACCTTGTGTATTCTGAAGGACCGGCTCTTTCAACTGGGAACGGTGCAACTTTGATGCTGACGGTTTGTGTTGATCTCTTAAATTGATTATATGCACATGCACAAGTAGAGAAACCCTCAGTGATGAGGACATCCTGATGTAAACGAAGATTTGATCAAGGTCGTCCCTCTCCACACCCCTAGGGTCATCCCTCATCGCACCCAGAGTCATCCCTTTACACACCCCCAGGGTCATCCTTCCGTACCATCGGGGTCTTCCCTCAGAACACCCCCCAGGGTCATCCCTCAGAACACCCCAGGTTCATCCCTCAGAACACCCCCAGGGAATCCCTAAGAACACCCCCAGTGTCATCCCTCCACACATCCCCAGGGTCAACCCCCAGAACAACCCCAAGGTCATCCTTCCACACACACCCAGGATCATCCCTCAGAACTACCACAAGTTCATCCTTCCACTCTACCCCAAGGTCATACCTCCACACAACCCCATGGTCATCACTCCATACACCTCGAGGGTACTTTCTCCACATACTCCCAGGGTCATCCCTCAGAACACCCCCAATGTCATCCCTCCACACACCCCCAGGGGCAATCCTTAGATTACCTCCAGTGTCAACCCTCCACAAACCCCCAGGGTTAACCCTCAGAACACCACCAGGGTCATCCCTCCACACACCCATAGAGTCATCCCGCCACACACCCCCAGTGTCATACCTCCACACACCCAACGTTCATCCCTCGAAACACCCCCAGGGTCATCCCTCAGATTACCCCCAGGGTCATCCCTCCACACAACCCCAGGGTCATTCCTCCACACACACCAAGAGTCATCCCTCTATACACCCCCAGGATCATCCCTCCACACACCCCAGGGTCATCCCTCCACACACACACAGAGTCATCCCTCCACACACCCCTAGGTTGGATCCCCTTGACATCCTCCAGCCAGGTCATTGCCATTTAAGATTGTTGAGAACAGTGTTAGAAATCAAGATGGGGTAAGTAAGATTTATTGAAGTCAATAAGGGTTGTTGCTCTGTAAAAAAAAAAGTTTAAGAAAACCTTATGTCGAGACGTTGTATTTGTTGTGTTGCAAATCATACAATCATGGCAATGAGTGTCTATTCATCCAACCAAGTCTCCCACTTGATCACCGAACAGCACAACCAATAGTATTAGTCTCCAAATCAACAAACACTCCACGGTTCGATACAATATATACATTTAATATGCCTCTTCGACATGACAATCAGTGTACTTTACTATACAGCTTGTAACCCTTCAACTTCACAATATATCTAGTTGAAATCCTCACACATAGAAACATCACACAGGAAGCTATATCCTGAACAGTGCACAACGGCCATCTCTCTTCTCTAACAACAACGAAAACTAACGCGTCACTTCCCATTACACACTTACGTGACAACACTCTCACACACACGATACAGCTACACGTAAAATCTCTAACTCAACATCTTTTCACTATCAAACATGACAACAATGCTCTACACATAACAAGAGTGATTCTCATACCCTTGACAATACACTGTATTTATAATCAGATAGTGACTACAATATTTTATTACATTTATAAAAGTGCCAGCAACATTATCATAAATTCCTTTGTGCTACTCATTTTAATACGGGTTCTGGTGGGTTTTATTCATAATTTAAAATCGTTAACATCGTTAATTATTTAGAAAACTTTGTGTATATTTATATTAAAATAAACCGAATAATATGTCAATTTAGTGAATCAGAGGCCACGAACCGTGTACAGCTCAATCCATGGGGCGTGGTGGACCAGGGGATTAACATGAGTCGAACCCAAAGCTGGAAGACTGGAGTTCGATCCCTAGGAAACGCCAAAACAAAAATAAAAAATCACGAGCACCTAACCTGGGCACCCGACCATTTGGACCTGGTGTTTCGGCTTACTTGGACCTATCTGGTACCATTCGAAATTCGTTAAAAGTGATTTTATGTCCAAATTTCCTAGCGGGGCCCATTCCTTGGGCTTAGTAAAACTGATGTTTTGTTTTGGAATGCAACCATTTCAGAGTTGTAAAAATTACATTAAAACACATTTTAAAGAAACATTTGCTTTAACAGACGAGTTTAAACACATAAATAAAAAAACCTCTTAAAAAACATTACAAAAAGAAGATATGTGTATAAATGAGGTGTGGCACTCTAAGCAATCAAAAGATTACAATTAAATTTAGAAGAAACCTAGGTTTATTTCTCCAATTAAAAAAAAAGATGTCTGCACAGACTTAATTCGCGTAATGAATATTTATAAATGTTAAAAAAAATATGTTCTACGTTTTAGTAAGTATAAACTTGTCTTCTAAGATAAATATTTTATATACTCTTTTACATGTAAAGCTATGGAGAATAAAAATTTTAATCTGTAAATTATCTAAAAAAGATATGTTGTTTCAAACAACGAATGTTAACAAAAATCCTGGATGTAGTGAATTAGCTGTTAACACAGGTGTAAAACCTAAAATGTAGAATTTAACCATTGCCTAATCTCCTTTGATCAGAGTCTAATTGCCGAGATCCAAAACCCTAACACCTTTCCCAATCGCATCCTAAATTCATAAAGTTTGCATCTTTTATGTAGCACAGAAATATATTTTTATATATATTATTTAGTCGATTTTTCTTATTTCCCCATCACTCACCCCATCCGCTATCCCTCAACCCGACGTCCTGGAGCTGTAAGTCTTTATCATCAATTTAGATGCAGCCTTACTGGTCAGAACGAGAAATACTCAATCGACTGAACGAGAGGATCGCGTGTGACAACACAAAAATTGTGCTACTAACGCCGTGAATTTTCAAATAGAAAGAAAGTTTTAAAAACGATGTGGGTTTAACAAATGAAAAATGATTTGTTCATGTGTCGAAGCCAGTTTTTAATTGTTAATACATAAAACAAACAATGTAACATGAATCAACAAAAGTATGATCAATGTGTCAATAAATCTATGTGTACAGCAAAGAGCAATGTGAGGCGATTGTAAAAGTTTCATGAACTTCTATTATGTTCATTCTTATTTAGCCCGCTGGCATTTATTGTCTTCTTACATGATTTTTGTTAGTTTTCTTGCATGATTATGTTACTTTTCTTACATGGTTTTGTTACTTCTCTTACATAATTTTATTAGATTTATTACATGATTGTGTTTGTTATATTTCATGATATTTTTAGTTTTCTTGCATGATTTGTTTAGTTTTCTTACATGATATTTTAGTTTTCTTACATGATTTTTGTTAGTTTTCTTACATGATTTTTTTGGTTTTCTTACATGATTTGTTTAGTTTTCTTACATGATTTTTGTTAGTTTTCTTACATGATTTTTTTGGTTTTCTTACATGATTTGTTTAGTTTTCTTACATGATTTTTTTAGTTTTCTTACATGATTTTTTTAGTTTTCTTACATGATTTTTGTTAGTTTTCTTACATGTTTTTGTTAGTTTTCTTACATGTTTTTGTTAGTTTTCTTACATGATTTAGTTTTATTAAATGATTTTGTTAGTTTTCCTAAATGACTTTGTTAGAGCGTCCCTCTTCAGAAGACCTAATATTAAAGATGGACTAAAGCTTAACAGAGTGGCGGTGCTGAGGGGCACACGTTACATAGACTGTTGATGATGGTGTCCAACTCAGGCCGCAGCAGACGGTAACTTTTAGGGTCATCTGTGTTCGTTGTGTCGTTGATGACAATGGGAGGCTGATTGTTGTTGACAGCTGTCAACTCTTCAAAGTAAATTGGGTTTTTCCCCTGAAATATATATAGATATATTTTTACAAATTCTTAGTAAATCATGAATGCGGAAATGTTATACATTTTTGGAAATTGTCTATTCTTTACTGTGAAAAACATTTCACATTATTTCTACTACAAAGTTGTTGTTTTTTATAATTAACTTTTTACTTGATGAGATGAGAAATATAATTAAATAATATAGGATACATTTTCTGATGCAAATTACTGGACACATGTTTTTATTAAATAGTACATAGTCATACTCAGCACATTAAAAAACACATTAAAACGTGTAATTCAAATAACAAATTTAAACATGGATAAATTTCAAAGTCAAACACCAAAATGTATTTAGACTTTTTTTTAAAGGCGCAGATGCATTCCTGGTCATCAGACGTCAATTCTATCAATCAAAATATGAGCCAAACATTACACTTCCGTGTGCTTGTCTACCATGCAAGAATTTAGCCGCCATGAATGAGGGTTATAAAGGATACAATGTGTAATAATTATATTTAGATTTTAAAATGAAATAATACAAGTTTCAAAAAATTATTGTAAATAAATAATAGTAATAATTGTCTTATTTCTTATATTATTGACTACCTTTAGCATCTAACCAGTCTTTGTTTCTAGAACTTACTTGTAGAGCAATGGCAGTTATGTTCCAACCCAAAGAGCGAACTCTTTGAGCCTCTTGTTGGGCCAACAATCTCCTGTTGGTGCTCCATGCTGATCCTTGAGATGATATAACTATCAGTATGTTGTTTGCGTAAGTGGGTCCTGATGTGATGCCTTGCAGACCGCGGTAGGTCCATGAACCAGCCTAATGTGAATGTCAGATAGACATTTTTCATCAATCATATTAGTTCGATATGTTTTTCGTTTCCAATTGTGTTTATTGAGATTAAAGTTTCCAATTAGTGGATACGTTTCTTAATAAATCATAAAAAAAGTCTAAACCAATAATTGCGAAACAATTAAATTTCTTGATATTAAAAAGTGTGATATTTATTAGAGGTTGATGACAAATGAGTGTCCGGCTGGTGGAGTTGTGACCCATGTTTTACCAGTGAACAGGAAACAGGCAGATGTACATTTTATAAATGCCGGCTACAGTAAGGGGTTGACAAATAGGAGCAAACTCTCAAAAGTACTACGAGCCATAAATCTATTTATATTTTATTGATTGAATTATTGATTGATTTGATATGTATATACTGCACGGTCCTCTCCATCCCTCTTCCTTCCTACAACTGACATTATCTAAATCCTTTGGTTCTGATTTCCTGGAAAAAAAGATTCCCTACTAAGATAACATTAATCTAATTTACAAAAAATAATAATTAATGAACTATACTGTAGAAGAAATAATATTTACATGTGTCCATTAATGAATAAAATCAATGATATGGTAAGTTGAGGCACATGTCACTTGCTACTAGTTGATCATATTCCACGCCATATCGTTATGAAAGGATAACAAGCTAATCGTACCGTACTTTTGTTAGGCAATAGTTGGATGTAGCCACATTTAGGAAAAAAAAATAAAAACTTTATAAGTTTGGCATTCGTTTCTGGTCATAAGTTCTAGTTCCAAATCCATTATTAAATATTTACAAAAAAAATTTCCAGGAATTGAGAACAATAATTAGAATGTTTACTACACATAACTAGATATTCACGTCGAACTATGTTACTTGAGGTGTTCAAGAAGACATTGTAATCAAATATCAAAACACTGATTAATTTATCGATACCTCCCTGATCATTGTTGTGTACAATATGTTTTAGCACTGATGCACAATCAAGCAAGATTCAACTTACTATTATAACAATCGCACGTGAATTTTATATTTTTCAGAGAGTTAAACGTCTGAGTTTTATGAATCAGCGTACTTATTTTAGTTTGCTTAAAATGAATATTATTTGAATTGAAATTAAAATACATTTCAATTTATTTTGCTGAATAACACATTCTTATTATATTTTATCATCGCTTGCTTTATCTTAAACGCCTTGTTTGTATTTTTTAAAATATATTCCAATTTAAATAAGTTCGTATAAAGGGGAGGGAAAAGTGGGATACCATACGATTTGGGAAGAGGGATTTGAGGAACAGAGGTAGTGAGATGAATTATGGAAGTAAAGGAATTTGAAAAGTTGTTAGCCACTTTGAAGTAGCAGTTAGACGAAGAGTAGGATGTTATAGGTTTGTTAAAGATGTGAAAAAGAGGGATTGATAAGAATAACTGGAAAATCTTCAGATTTTAAGAGAAAGAATTTCGGAAAATGGAATGGGGAAAACATTGTTTAGTATTATAGTGTGACGTCGAGACCAAATTGGTCTTAGAAATTTAAAAGAAATGGAGGCTTTTAAAGAAAGGTGTTTTTTTTAATAATTTTTATAAGGGACGTTGATGTCATGTAGGATGGTTCTTCTATATTGGTTGGCGCTTTTAAAGATGAGTGTTCTTTTATGGTGGTTGGATTTCAATGTAAAGAAATAATGACGTCATGTGCTCTTTATGTGAGTGTTTATTGATTTGGGAAGGATTAGGGGAGGTGGCAATGGGAGATGATGGTAGATATTCATGAAGTACTGAATGGCGGCAATAATAGATGATGGTAGATATTCATGAAGTACTGAATGGCGGCAATGAGAGATGATGGTAGATATTCATGAAATACTGAATGGTGGCGATGAGAGATGATGGTAGATATTCATGAAGTACTGAATGGTGGCAATGGGAGATGATGGTAGATATACATGAAGTACTGAATGATGGCAATTTGAGATGATGGTAGATATTCATGAAGTAGTGAATGGTGGCAATGAGAGATGATGGTAGATATTCATGAAGTACTGAATGGTGGCAATGGGAGATGATGGTAGATATTCATGAAGTACTGAATGATGGCAATGGGAGATGATGGTAAATATTCATGAAGTAATGAATGATGGCAATGGGAGATGATGGTAGATATTTATGAAGTACTGAATGATGGCAATTAGAGATGATGGTAGATATTCACGAAGTACTGAATGATGGCAATGGGAGATGATGGTAGATATTCATGAAGTACTGAATGATGGCAATGGGAGATGATGGTAGATATACATGAAGTACTGAATGGTGGCAATGGGAGATGATTGTAGATATACATGAAGTACTGAATGATGGCAATGGGAGATGATAGTAGATATACATGAAGTACTGAATGGTGGCAATGGGAGATGATGGTAGATATACATGAAGTACTGAATGGTGGCAATGGGAGATGATTGTAGATATACATGAAGTACTGAATGGTGGCAATGGGAGATGATGGTAGATATACATGAAGTACTGAATGATGGCAATGGGAGATGATGGTAGATATACATGAAGTACTGAATGATGGCAATGGGAGATGATGGTAGATATACATGAAGTACTGAATGATGGCAGTGGGAGATGATGGTAGATATTCATGAAGTACTGAATGATGGCAATGGGAGATGATGGTAGATATACATGAAGTGCTGTGACATTTTCTTAAAAGATGTTAGTTGCGTCGAGTTAAGTGGTGCTAATCTCAAGGCTTCTTGTGCTCATATTATGAGTTTACTTTTTGTGTTTAAAACATGTGTTGATTTCATGTGTTGAAATCACGTGTTGCTACCATGTGTTTATATCATGTGTTTATATGTTGTGTTTATATGTTGTGTTTATATCACGTGTTTACATTATGTGTTTACATTATGTGTTTACGTCATGTGATTACATCTCATAGTTTCATTTGTCAGAATGGAAATTTGATAAGAAAGACAGTTTTGAAGGGATAAACAAACGTATGTATTGTCAACTAGAAGATGTGTAATTATTGTTACTTTTATTTGTAATCATTGTTACTTTCCTTTTTAATCATTGTTACTTACATTTTAATAATTGTTACTTACATTTGTAATCATTGTTACTTACATTTGTAATCAGTGTTACTTACGTCTATAATCATTGTTACTTATATTTGTAATTATGTTACATACATCAATAACCTTTGTTACTTCCATTTGTAATCATTGTTACTTACATTTGTAATTATGTTACATACATCTATAACCTTTGTTACTTCCATTTGTAATCATTGTTACTTACATTTGTAATTATGTTACATACATCAATAACCTTTGTTACTTCCATTTGTAATCATTGTTACTTACATTTGTAATTATGTTACATAAATTAAAACCTTTGTTACTTCCATTTGTAATCATTGTTACTTACATCTAAAATTATGTTGACTTACATTTGTAATCAGTGCTACTTACGTCTATAATCATTGTTACTTACATCTGTAATCATTGTTATGTACCTCTATAACCTTTGTTACTTCGATTTGGAATCATTGTTTCTTACATTTGTAACCTTTGTTACTTTCATTTGTAATCATTGTTACTTACATTTGTAAACCTTGTTATATACATTTGTAATCATTATTACTTACATTTTTAATCAGAAACAAGCCATTAACAAGTGACCCAATAGCAGCGTCTGGTGATGAATCTTTGGGGATGACTGACGTCACGTTTGCAGAACTACTGTAGCCGTAGCCTCCAACTCTGTGGATATATATATATATATATATATATATATATATCGATATGAAACATTCTGTTTTAATTCAGTGGTTTTCAACCTTCCTAATGCCATGACCCTTTAACAACGTTCCCCATGTTTTGGTGAACCCCAAACAAAAAACTATTTTCGTTGTTACTTCGTAAATGTGTATTTTCCGATGTTGCAAGGGCAATCCCTGTGTAAGAGTTTTTCGAGACACAAAGGATCGTGACCCACAGTTTGAGAACCGCCTTTGTAATTTTAACTTTTTAGATCAAGTAACGAGACTTATTTTGGGCTTTATTTTTCTTGTTATTTCAATGAAATAAAATGCTGATATACGATAAATGACAACAACATCTGATTTTGTTTGTTCTATTAATATAAAGCAGTGGTCTCAAACTCACGGCCCGAGGGCCATTGGCGGTCCCCAAGACGATACTTTTTGGCCCGATACCTTACTTCAAAGTTCAGTTGTAATGCGGTTCGCGCGTTTTCCCCATTATCATTTCTATATTGTGACTCTCAGCGACGGTTTCAGTCAAATCTCACCGACTGTTCTAATTCTTATTTTTTTTAAATATTTGTATAGGTTTGAATGTTGATTATAATGGCAAGAAACGTTTTGAAAAATCGGATTAAAATTTTTATTGTAAAGCGTTTTTTGACAAACATGGCCGCAGTTGGAATCAATCACAGGTTTGCAGACTTGAAAATACATAGAGACACTTTTCAATTTTTTGCTGATCCTTTCTTCCCTCAGTGTCAAATATGTCGACCCTCCCCCCCCCCCCACTCAATTTTTGCACTTCAACTGGAGCTGATTGATCTTCAGTACTATTCTGAACTCAAAGTTAAGCCCATGTTGGAATCAATCACAGGTTTGCAGACTTGAAAATACATAGAGACACTTTTCAATTTTTTGCTGATCCTTTCTTCCCTCAGTGTCAAATATGTCGACCCTCCCCCCCCCCCACTCAATTTTTGCACTTCAACTGGAGCTGATTGATCTTCAGTACTATTCTGAACTCAAAGTTAAGCCCAGGGAGGTGAAGGGAAACACAGACAAGCTTGAACAATTTTAGAGAGAATGGCCCTCTAGTTTCCTGAGATTTCCAGTTTGTTCCAGCGAATCAAGTCAAAGTTCAGGGCCAAACTTACTGATGAGCATCTTTGAGCTGTACTGAGGGTCTCAGTTCATTCCTCACTCAAGCGAAAATGTTGCTCAGTTATATAACAAGGTCTCTGGCAACAAGGAGTAGGAGGATAAAAGTGAAGCTTAGTTCTTGAAAACGATTAAATTTTTATTTGTTATTAATTACGGTTTATCAGATTGTAACAGTTGTACTTTATTGAATTTGTAATTGCTTTTTGTGTGGAATAGTTGGTGCGGCCCCAGTCTCACTCAGACTCTATCTCCTGTGGCCCCTGATAATTTGAGTTTGAAACCACTAATATAAAATATTTTGCTCGAAGTTGTTGTTTTTTTGTTTGAGATGTTCCTCTTGTTTGTTTGCATTAGATGCCAGACAATCCCATGTACCTTATATCAATATTTCTAGGGGTGTTGAGGATGCGAGAGTTGCGCAAGGCATTGGCGACTTGTTCTCGAAGAATGTCAAATCTGGTCAAAGAGTTGATTGGATCATTCGTGGACGCTGTCAGTGCATTCTCGGACTGGTCAAAGAGGAAAGTTATATCTGTATCAGGACAGGCTGCAAAAGGCAACAACCAAAAAATATCTTAAAATATGTTATTTAATGTAGAATGTGAGCACTTGTAAAATTGGTGAAAGTTAGTTGGCATTAACTAACTTATTTAATACCTTAACTTGAAATGTAGTTTAATGTCACCACACTTTGTTTGTTATGCACTTGGTCATGTATTTATTTAATACCTTAACTTGAAATGTAGTTTTGGTTGGAAAAAAAAACAACTCACAAAATGATATTGTTCAAAATATTCTTTAAATTCTACATTGAACCCAATGAAACATTAATAGCTACATTAATGAATCAAATGAAGCGAGGAAGGGGAATAGGTCAAATATTTTGTCAGTTTTCCAGTTTGTTCAACACAAAGTTACAAAGTGCACCACGTCAACTTACTTTGGGCGAGGAGAGCACTCACCAGACATGCAAACGTGAGAAAATGTAACAATGTCATCTTTATGGTGTTTCTGAAACTGTCACGGATCAAATACTTAGATAATAATTCGGTTTCGGAATAATGTATTGCTTTGTATAAGTTAGAAGAAACACGAAGTTAATTAAGGTGTGTCATGCGCAAGAAGAATAGAAGTACATTAGTGAAAATGGAAGCATGTGTTGATTGAAGATAGGCTCTTGCCGTACATCTCATTACATCGTTTAACTTAATAAAAATATCTGTGTGAAAATCTTATGTGAAGTAAATAGACGAAATCAATTATAGTTCCTTCAATTTCGGATATATTTATTATGTACTTAATGTCGTGGAATTTTATATAATAAATTGTGATGCAAAATACATGGAGTAAAGTTTCGTAAAGTGTAAAGACTCTATTTTACAAGTAACATCATCATTCACAAATGATCGCTACAAAATGGTAACAACAATTTAATAATCATTAATTTCTTCAAACAAGGCTTGCGAGAAATGTGTCGAATGTGGAAACATTTATTTTAAAATGTGCGGCAATAGTAGAAAGAAATGTATAAGTATAGATTTGTTTTAAAATGTGTAGTAAAAAAATTAGTTTCGAATGACTTTTTATAATTATTATATACTCAGCGTTTAATAAGGAACGCTCCAAAAGCTGTCCGTAATCATATATTTATATATGTTATATATTGGACTGATTACAACCTTATCGTTCCTTAGATCCTTTGGAACAAAAATGTAAATGCTGTTACCAAACATATGACCAGGTTTAAACTATCAGTGCCATTAACACTTACATACCTTTTAGACAGCCAATGTTATCACCTTCACACCACATCATCTACGCCTTTATATACCTGTAAATTTTTTGACGAGTAGGCCTACAATAAAATTAGGTGTCAGCTGTGTGAAATGTTTGCAGTTTAAACACAAGCGTCGGCCCACCATTCAATAGCATAATGTACGTTATTAAAGGAACCTTTCGCCCCCTCTCTCTCATTCAATAGCATAATGCACGTTATTAAAGGAAAATGAAAGATTTGATCTCTGCAAACTTCCTTTACGAATAAATGCGTCGAAAGTATCCGGGTCACCGCCCCAAAAAACTTCAAGTCATTGGAACGTAATCCGGGTTTAATATTTTTTTCTTTATGGATAACGAGGATTTTTTTATATCTGGATTACGTCCCATATTGAATGTGTTATATATTGATTATGTTATATCTTGATTGTGTTATGTATTGGCTGTTTTATGTATTGGCTGTGTCATATATTGATTGTGGGATATATTAATTATGTTATATATTGAATAATTTGAATATATTGAGTATCTTATTTATTGATTATTTTGTATATTGATTATGCCATATATTGTTATGATATAATTTGATTATTTTATTAATTGATTGTTAGCCCCTATACACTGAACTTGCTGTGGTCCGCATGTATGTTTTTTTTTACCTGAGTCTCAGATCGTTCCAGATATTATTAACACGAGCTTAAAATCTCTGTTGTGACTTAATACTGTCCAGTACAATTCCATTTATTTTTTTAAGGATGTTATGGTGGACTAGCGGACTGGACCATCTCGATAACATAACAGCGTGCATGCGCAGTGACTGTGGGCAGCGTAGGTGTTATTGAAGAGTGTGTTCCTGAATCAAGCAGAAACTCACATGATTGAGAACTTGTATATAAGTCTATGTATGTTAATATTTATTGTTGAAGATAAAAACGTTGAAAAAAAAACAAATGATGGTCAGTATCAACATAACGACACAGATTGATGGTCAGTATCAACATAACAACTCAGATTGATGGTCAGTATCAACATAACGACACAGATTGATGGTCAGTATCAACATAATGACACAGAATGATGGTCAGTATCAACATAACCACACAGAATGATGGTCAGTATCAACATAACAACACAGATTGATGGTCAGTATCAACATAACGACACAGATTGATGGTCAGTATTTACATAACAACATAGATTGATGGTCAGTATCAACATAACCACACAGATTGATGGTCAGTATCAACATAACTACACAGAATGATGGTCAGTATCAACATAACAACACAGATTGATGGTCAGTATCAACATAACGACACAGATTGATGGTCAGTATCAACATAATGACACAGATTGATGGTCAGTATCAACATAACAACACAGATTGATGGTTAGTATCAACATAACGACACAGAATGATGGTCAGTATCAACATAACAACACAGATTGATGGTCAGTATCAACATAACGACACAGATTGATCGTCAGTATCAACATAACAAAAAAAGATTGATGGTCAGTATCAACATAACGACACAGATTGATCGTTATTATAAACGTAACAACACAGATTGATGGTCAGTATCAACATAACGACACAGATTGATGGTCAGTATCAACATAACGACACAGATTGATGGTCAGTATCAACATAACAACACAGATTGATGGTTAGTATCAACGTAACAACACAGATTGATGGTCAGTATCAACGTAACAACACAGATTGATCGTTATTATCAACGTAACAACACAGATTGATGGTCAGTATCAACGTAACAACACAGATTGATGGTCAGTATCAACATAACAAGACAGATTGATGGTCAGTATCAACATAACGACACAGATTGATGGTCAGTATCAACATAACAACACAGATTGATGGTCAGTATCAACATAACAACACAGATTGATGGTCAGTATCAACATAACAACACAGATTGATGGTCAGTATCAACATAACAACACAGATTGATGGTCAGTATCAACATAACAACACAGATTGATGGTCAGTATCAACATAACAACACAGATTGATGGTCAGTATCAACATAACAACACAGATTGATGGTCAGTATCAACATAACAACACAGATTGATGGTCAGTATCAACATAACAACACAGATTGATGGTCAGTATCAACATAACAACACAGATTGATGGTCAGTATCAACATAACAACACAGATTGATGGTCAGTATCAACATAACAACACAGATTGATGGTCAGTATCAACATAACAACACAGATTGATGGTCAGTATCAACATAACAACACAGATTGATGGTCAGTATCAACATAACAACACAGATTGATGGTCAGTATCAACATAACAACACAGATTGATGGTCAGTATCAACATAACAACACAGATTGATGGTCAGTATCAACATAACAACACAGATTGATGGTCAGTATCAACATAACAACACAGATTGATGGTCAGTATCAACATAACAACACAGATTGATGGTCAGTATCAACATAACAACACAGATTGATGGTCAGTATCAACATAACAACACAGATTGATGGTCAGTATCAACATAACAACACAGATTGATGGTCAGTATCAACATAACAACACAGATTGATGGTCAGTATCAACATAACGACACAGATTGATGGTCAGTATCAACATAAAGACACAGATTGATGGTCAGTATCAACATAACAACACAGATTGATGGTCAGTATCAACATAACGACACAGATTGATGGTCAGTATCAACATAACAACACAGATTGATGGTCAGTATGAACATAACAACACAGATTGATGGTCAGTATCAACATAACAACACAGATTGTTGGTTTGTATCAACATAACAACACAGATTGATGGTCAGTATCAACATAACAACACAGATTGTTGGTCAGTATCAACATAACAACACAGATTGATGGTCAGTATCAACATAACGACACAGATTGATCGTCAGTATCAACATAACAACACAGATTGATGGTCAGTATCAACATAACGACACAGATTGATCGTTATTATCAACGTAACAACACAGATTGATGGTCAGTATCAACATAACGACACAGATTGATGGTCAGTATCAACATAACAACACAGATTGATGGTCAGTATCAACATAACAACACAGATTGATGGTCAGTATCAACATAACAACACAGATTGATGGTCAGTATCAACATAACGACACAGATTGATGGTCAGTATCAACATAACAACACAGATTGATGGTCAGTATCAACATAACAACACAGATTGATGGTCAGTATCAACATAACAACACAAATTGATGGTCAGTATCAACATAACAACACAGATTGATGGTCAGTATCAACATAACGACACAGATTGATGGTCAGTATCAACATAACGACACAGATTGATGGTCAGTATCAACATAACAAGACAGATTGATGGTCAGTATCAACATAACGACACAGATTGATGGTCAGTATCAACATAACAACACAGATTGATTGTCAGTATCAACATAACAACACAGATTGATGGTCATTATCAACATAACAACACAGATTGTTGGTCAGTATCAACCTAACGACACAGATTGATGGTCAGTATCAACATAACAACACAGATTGATGGTCAGTATCAACATAACAACACAGATTGATGGTCAGTATCAACATAACAACACATATTGTTGGTCAGTATCAACATAACAACACAGATTGATGGTCAGTATCAACATAACGACACAGATTGATCGTCAGTATCAACATAACAACACATATTGATGGTCAGTATCAACATAACGACACAGATTGATGGTCAGTATCAACATAACAACACAGATTGATGGTTAGTATCAACGTAACAACACAGATTGATGGTCAGTATCAACGTAACAACACAGATTGATTGTCAGTATCAACATAACGAAACAGATTGATGGTCAGTATCAACATAACGACACAGATTGATGGTCAGTATCAACATAACAAGACAGATTGATGGTCAGTATCAACATAACGACACAGACTGATGGTCAGTATCAACATAACGACACAGATTGATGGTCAGTATCAACATAACAACACAGTTTGATGGTCAGTATCAACATAACAACACAAATTGATGGTCAGTATCAACATAACAACACAGATTGATGGTCAGTATCAACATAACAACACAGATTGATGGTCAGTATCAACATAACGACACAGATTGATGGTCAGTATCAACATAACAAGACAGATTGATGGTCATTATCAACATAACGACACAGATTGATGGTCAGTATCAACATAACAACACAGATTGATTGTCAGTATCAACATAACAACACAGATTGATGGTCAGTATCAACATAACAACACAGATTGTTGGTCAGTATCAACCTAACGACACAGATTGATGGTCAGTATCAACATAACAACACAGATTGATGGTCAGTATCAACATAACGACACAGATTGATGGTCAGTATCAACATAACGACACAGATTGATGGTCAGTATATACATAACAACACAGATTGATGGTCAGTAACAACATAACAACACAGATTGATGGTCAGTATCAACATAACAACACAAATTGATGGTCAGTATCAACATAACAACACAGTATGGTGGTCAGTATCAACATAACGACACAGATTGATGGTCAGTATCAACATAAAGACACAGATTGATGGTCAGTATCAACATAACAACACAGATTGATGGTCAGTATCAACATAACGACACAGATTGATGGTCAGTATCAACATAACAACACAGATTGATGGTCAGTATCAACATAACAACACAGATTGATGGTCAGTATCAACATAACAACACAGATTGTTGGTCAGTATCAACATAACAACACAGATTGATGGTCAGTATTATCATAACAACACAGATTGTTGGTCAGTATCAACATAACAACACAGATTGATGGTCAGCATCAACATAACGACACAGATTGATCGTCAGTATCAACATAACAACACAGATTGATGGTCAGTATCAACATAACGACACAGATTGATCGTTATTATCAACGTAACAACACAGATTGATGGTCAGTATCAACATAACAA